CTCACCTCCCTTCTCCTATTTTATCTTCCCTTCTTTTACCTTCCCCTAATTCCCCTCAATTAGTAAACACCTGAGCGTACTACTCTCCTTAGGTCATGAGTTTATGTCTTTGTGCATTAATTCAACATTAGTGCATTCATAAGCGATTAACTCGAACATAGTCTTGTACATTGTTTCAAATGCATGAACTTCACACAGTGCAACTGAGGTAGAACATGTATAGACAAGTGTCATAGAGCGGTTGCCTAGGGGAGAGCAAATGATCGGTTTGGTTAGTTTTAAGCATTTTTTTTGGAGAGCAAATGGTCGGTTTGGTAAGTTTTAAGCAATTTTTTATAAAACCAAATTGAACTGTCGTAGGAACAAAGCTGAACGGAACCAGACCGAATTATTTCAGCTTGGTTCGGTTGGTTTTCTCGGTTCTTACATGCCCCAACCTTAAGTAGCAAAAGTCGCGGAAGCTTTGGTGGTCATTGCAAATGCAAGTAACTCATATGAAGGATGAAGGCTATAAATGACTAAAGAAGAAAAGAGATATGTGAATTAAAATCTTGACTTAATATGATAACTGAGAGAAGAGAGGAAGCCATGGTTGTTGAGTCCTTTTGGGTAAGAGAAGAGGAGAAAGGTCAACTGATCCTTTCTCTCTCTATTTGCATAAATGTCCAAGCCAGGTAGCATTGAATTAATTAATAAAAAATCAATTTCATGGGCAATGTATGAGTGGCTTGCGCTCGAAGCGGTCATACTTTAAGCTCGCATTGGTGTGTATGGTTGAAACCAATGTTTTAAATGTCGGATGTCGGGTTCATGTCGGTTGGCCAAAATTCATGTCGGATAGCGGAAATCGGGGATATATCGGGGACATGAAAAAAAATATCGGATTGTCATATCGGATAGGTTGATATAATATCATAAATAGAATCTTCACATACATGATAATTATATTATCTAAACATATGAAAAAGTACATAACTTATTGATGTTAAGATCACTAACCAATTGTAGACACCTGATTTCCGAGTCGGGTTTTTCAAACTTGACCCAATAAGCTTAAAACCGCTTTTTCTGAAATTTGGCCGATATTTCTTGGCCGCAATGGCGCCCGACATACCCGATATTTTCCGACATGTCCCCGACATGACCTCAGAAACGCAATACGCATTGAAATGAAGGATATCGTGGCGGCTAGGGTATAAAACCGTCATATCGGCCGCCATGTCCGACATGACGTTTTCAAATGATAATTTGGAGAGATCATTTTTTTGATCAGAGAGGTCCTAATTGTTGGGGATAACATGCATGTGTGTATGCATGTGTTTGTGGTTTATTTGGTTTTGCATGTCTGGCAGTGTTTGATGTTGAACCAAACGCCTGGTTGTGTTGAATGTGCTTCAGATTCTTGGTCGTACATGTATTTCTTATGTCAATTTTTTAATTAGTAATGAGAACTTCATGTTTCTACTTTATGTTTTATTTTTTTGGCTATATTTTATTGTTTTTTTCTTCTGAAGAAGCTTCCAGGGAAGTATCGTTGATTTGTAAAAAGTTCAATCCTCCCTCAATATCATCATCATCATCTTTCCTAGGCAAAACAACTTGAGAACCAATATTAGTCTCATCAAAAGTAACGTTTATAGATTCTTCAACAACGAGGCTTCGTTTATTGAAGACCCTATAAGCCTTACTTCGAGATGCATAACCCAAGAAAATACCAACATTAATTTTAGAATCAAATTTATCATGGTGATCTTTTGTATTTAAAATAAAACATTTACAACCAAAGATACGAAAATAACCAATAAAAGGAGTTTTTCCAAAATAAAGTTCATAAGGGGTTTTCTTAAGTTTTGGTCTAATCAAAACACGATTTAAAACATGGCAAGCCGTGTTGACGGCTTCCGCCCAAAAATATTTTGGCAAATCAAAAGAATTAAGCATAGTGCGTGCCATCTCTTGTATGGTGCGATTTTTCCGTTCAACAACACCATTTTGTTGTGGTGTTCTAGAAGCGGAAAACATATGAGTAATACCATGATGAGCACAAAAATCATAGAAAAATTCATTTTGAAATTCACCACCATGATCACTTCTTATTTTAACAACTTTCAAATCTTTTTCATTTTCAATTCTTTTAACATGATTTGCAAATTCTTCAAAACAATCATTTTTCTTAGCAAGAAATATTGTCCATGTAAAACGAGAAAAATCATCAATAATCACAAAAACATAGTGTTTGCCTCCAAGAGAGGTAACACGCATAGGACCAAATAAATCAAGATGAAGTAATTGCAAGGGTTTAGAAGTCGATACCTCATGGATGGATTTGAAAGAAGACTTTGTTTGTTTACCTTTGGCACAATCCTCACAAATTGTATCTTTTATGAAGTGCAAGTTAGGTAGCCCTTTCACAAGATTCTTCTTAGACAATTTTGAGATTAGCTCCATATTTGCATGTCCAAGTCTCTTGTGCCAAATCCAAGGATTTTCATCAATTGCCGCAAGACACTTTACATCTTGATTATCGGATAGGGTGATATAATATCATAAATAAAATCTTCACATACTTGATAATTATATTGTCTAAACATATGAAAAAGTACATAACTTATTGATGTTAAGATCACTAACCAATTGTAGACACCTGATTTCCGAGTCGGGTTTTTCAAACTTGACCCAATAAGCTTAAAACCGCTTTTTCTGAAATTTGGCCGATATTTCTTGGCCGCAATGGCGCCCGACATACCCGATATTTTCCGACATGTCCCCGACATGACCTCAAAAACGCCATACGCATTAAATTCAACAATTTCGTGGCGGCTAGGCTCCGAATCCGCAATATCGGCCGCCATGTCGGACATGGCGGCCGATATTTAAAACACTGGTTGAAACAACCTTGAAAATTTGAAATCCAGCCCGAACTGTAATCAACACAGCACTGAACTTCCGAATCACGGACGGTTTGGTCGATTTGTCCAGTCCTAACCGACTTGTGCATAGGCCTAGGTAGGATTACCAAATTTCAAATGGGTGCCAGGGTGCGTCATTGAATTGGCGAAGAAAATGTTGTATCTTCCAATTCGGAAGGAGCTTTTATACATATAAGATATGTTTTCTTGGTGTATGGATAAGACAGAGTCAACCAAACTGACTCAATTTTGGTTTGTGACAGTCAAATTTGCGAAAGTCCATCGGCATTATTGTTTCCTTGGCATTTTGTTATTCTTAGTAATAAAATAGAAGTCTATCTTGCATAGGAAACAAATTCGGTTTTGATTTTAAATTTGACTAATTTATTTCCTCAACCGTAGGTAGGAGTCCGTCTTGCATAAGAAACAAATTCGGTTTTGATTCAGACTTGAGACTGATTTTTCCCCTCAATCGTAGGGAGTCTTTTAATAGTTTTTCATACTTTCTATTTTAGTAAATTATTTCCTATTAGGAGTCAATTATGTTTTCTATTTAAGCAGATCACTGAAAACCCTAGAGATATTACTTTTGATCAAATAATATTTCCTCTTTTCAATTCTTTTTCATGGATTTAAAGGTAATCTTCTTTGTGGATTCGGGGAGTCCCTTGATGGAATCGGAGGTTTTGCTTCCGCGTTGCGTCAACAAGAAAGTTAGATAACACTTGACTTAGGAATTAGGTTTGACTTTTAACTACATACACACAAGCTTATTAGGAATTAGGGCCGACTTTTAACTATACACAAGCAAGTTTATTGCAGATGCACTAAGTGTCATGCAACTTGTGTGGCTTATAATTAAAAATTAATATAAAGAAAACAAACTTGCAATCAACCATATACTAATTAGTGGAAAAGTATAGTAAATCTTAGAATATTTGACCTGAATTCTAATTTTATTAAATCATGTTATTAGTATGTAGAGAAAGTGCCAAAGATGCCTTTTTCCCATTTGCTTTTGGGGTTCAACATAAAAGAACGTTCAACATTGTAACTAAGAGCACAAAAGTTATGTAGTTTCCTTATAAGCTATTTTACCTAGGTACTTCGAATCTGAAGTCTTACCCATATCCGATATGTACCCGTACCCGTACCCAAACTCCTTGGACACTCCTCGGATATGCATAGATTTATTTGAGTATATACTCAACTATACAATACATGTTTATTTTAAGACACTTGTCATACATTTTTTGCACATGTATCCTACACTGCACATTCACTTTGCAACTCGTTGGACATAGGTTCTGAATTATGGTTTTGAAGGGTTGTTTGAATGTCTAGTTCAAAAACTAGTGATTTTGCAATATATGATCCACAAAATGAAAGAAACATAAAAATGTTATAGGAATTTTAATTCTCATACTTGTTCTCATATAAAATATTAATTCCAATATATATAATGTATGTGTATATAAATATTTATGTAGTAGTGTCTCCGTACCCTACCTTTTATAAAATTGTTGTGTCCCATACCCATATTTGTACCCAGGCAACATAGCTTATAAGCATATATTGCACTGAAGTAACAACAGAAAACCCTTTGTCCTAAATTTTTGGGGTCATACATGTATCCTGTTTCTTCATGATCTCAATTAGCCATATGCGTAGTTATAAGTCAACAACCATGATGGACGTAGCTTACTTATCTTTTGTGCTACTGGTCCAAAATTCAGTAGACAATACATCAATCAAAGAACCATACAAATTCAAGAGTCCAATGGCCTCATTTAGTTTTTTTTCTTCTTCCTTCTCTATTGCATATTCTTGAAGACAGCTAGCCAATTCTCCTTAGGATCTAATTCCAAACCTTAGCTCTTCATCTGTCAAAGTTTTAGCAGACATCAATCTTACCCAGAAACTTGTTAATTGTTTAGTATATTCACCATGCATGACCGTATATTATCGTGCTTATTACTTTTTACCAGTAGAAACTACTCATCAAGTAATGGCATGTGGTTTTTTCCAGAGAAAAAGCAGAGAAAATCACCTGTAAACTGGAAATGGTTGCAGAAACCATTGCCAAAATCCTGTCACAATATGTCAAAATCCAAAGCCACTCTGCAAAGATTCAAAAGATGCATTCTGTTATATCCCTTAGAAAGTATGATAATTCTAACCAGCTGAGTGGATATGCAACAAAGCATTATGACTCTACTCTGAGCCTTCACATTACCGGAGATGATCACAAGTTCCGAATTCGTTCTCCTGACTCCAATTGCTTCACTCTTCCCACTGGCTTCATACTTTTCACTGTTGGTAAACATTTTGAGGTAATGAAAACGAGTGCTACCTTTTTGGGTTTTTTCGATATTAGTCCCCCAAGCATTTCATATTCTATACTTAGTCCCCAAATCTTTTTAATATTTTGAAATTAGTTCCCCCAAATCTTTTTAAGTGATTTAAATTAACCCTCGAGTTAATAGAGGCAATATGAAATCGAGGGAATATTTGGTCATCTACAACATTTGGGTGCAATACCAGTTATACCATTACGTCAAACTCAAACCTCAATAAGAGCATCCTTGGAGCACAAACTGCTGGAAGATTCTGCAATTCTAGATTTAAATCCTCTGATTTTGAACTTGATTTTTGTGGATTTTGGTTGATTTGGATAATCTGGTAATTACTCATCCCTTATTAAGTTCTAACCCAAACCTGGTTAGTAATTTGGATGTTAAATATAGCAGAGGGACTAGTTAGAAGATTTTGGTCACTAATCTCAAAATATAAAGATTTGGGGGACCAACTTCAAGATATGAAAGCTGTTGAGCGCTAATATTGAAGAAAAATCCTATTCTTCTTTTCTTGCCTGTGATCCATTGAGCTATATTTATCCTCAATGTTCTGTCCCTCAGGAAATTTCTGATGGGGAATTGAAGTGTTTTAATGGTGAAATATTTGTTGATCCAAGTGATGACTCGCTGACTCCTTTATCCCTCGAGTTCATGTACACTTTGCCAGTCCTAAATCATGTGCCAAGCCATAGTTTGTCAAAGGCTGCGTCGATAATGGACCAGCTATTGGTTCTTCTGGTTCTTGTATTTTTGTACAATTTGTGCAGTTAGTTTCTTTGTATAATGTCTTGAGAGATTTCAAGGGCTGTACATAGAAACGGGGGTCTGAACAAGGCCCAAGCATAAGCCATGAGGATTGGCTTATGCATCTCGTCGACCCGAATTATGTTTCAAGGTGTGATTCATAGGGAGTGGTTTGAATGCGTCTGAGTGCTCGCAGGGCATGGAGTTGTGTGGATTGTTTTTGTCATTCCATTCGGAGAAAGGAGTGGAAGAATAAGCTGTGGTGCTGGAATTTGATTTTTATTTTTATTTATTGAGTGATTCTTCTCGAAGTTTATTTTTGGATTGTGAGTGTATAGTTGTTCACCGTGTGAACTCGATCTGGGTTTGTTTTGAAATTGAGTGTATAATTCTTCAATGTTGGGTGAGAGTGGGTTCATGCACATTGGTTATTCTAATATGAAAAGAATATGCATGTATAGAAGACATATGTACAGATAAAGATGTAATATAGCAGTATGTAGTGTTTTGTATATCCTAATGTCATTGCGTATATTGATTTTCTTTATATTCTTGATGTTTTCTTTTTGCAAAAGAAAAAAAGTCTTAGTCTTGTGCATATGTATGTATGAACTTTACTCTTCTGGAAGATGTTAAAGAGTGCATTATTAGTTTTATGGGCTGCTTCCATTTTGTTTAATTATGTAGACATATTAAGTTGTTTTATTTTTTTTTAAATTTTTCATTTCATTTTATTTTATTTTTCCTACCACATAAGCCTATCTTTACCATAAGATTAAAATTCCATAAGAAAAAATACAGACCTTTTTTTTCACGAAATGTACAGAAAAACTTTTACTCCTTGTTTGGCGAAAGATGAAAAGGTTAATTTCAGAAAATCGCTCTTTATCATTTACTCAAGATATAATGGCATTCTCAAAATATTCTCTCATGAAGAATGATGAACTTAAACACATGATGACCCTCTGATGGGCTACTTAAATCGGGGAGTACTCCTGCAATATTCATGGGCAGCTCCTTGACCGCTAATGTGCTGTTATTGCACTTCACCGAATATTTCATGATCTTATTACAGCAGCATAGTCTTTAATATTCCTTACAAAAAAACCAATCAACTGAAACTATAGCTGATGAGACTCAGGCTGAAGAACATGTTAGACAAAATTATACTAGATTGGAATAATTGATGTACATAGCTAGCTAGAGAGATAGCCATATCAATGGTGGCCAGGAAAAGGAACCAAACTTAGGCCAACCCCAATGTATATAGGCTTGGTAGCAATTAAGCTCTTGAAATTTTATAGAATGTAGCCATAGAGTTGTCATGAGAATTAAGAGATATAATTCACCATGCAAAGACTGACTTGTTGAAAGTTGAGTGATATTTTCTTTTCCAGACCCAAAATTCTAAAAGAATTTGAGGTTGAAATATTTATATAGGTGTTTGATAGAATCAGAGGGCTAAAATTTCAAGTTGGGTATTTTTGGTAGGACCATATCTCTAGTATGAATATTTTTCTTTCATTTGCGATGTTATGATATTAATATTAAAATTTAATGTCAATTTGATATTATTTTATATAATAAGAGTAACCAAATTGATATGCTTATTAGTAGAAGAAAAAATAACCAAATGTAATATCATAATAATGTGGCAAAGTGAAAGAGAAAACATCATACTGGAAAAAGAAATCTAAAAACTGCCAATTTAGTGCCGTATTAGAAGTGAAAAAAAAAGCTTATTGGATGCTATAAATACCATCAAGGTCCATTAGAAATAGTTGTGCATTTCTACATAATGCCCTTTATTCACTGTGATTGGAGATCAGACTTTGAATGGTTGTCCTTATTTGGGATATTAATTAAGGGAAATTCCCTAAGTACCCAAATCCATGGGACAGGTGAGGTGTCCCCTCCCCATTGCTTCATGTACTGTTCGCTTCATGTACTGTTCATGAACAGTACATGGAGCAATGAGGAGGGGACACCTCACCTGTTCCCTCCCTTGTCTCATGAGTTCCGGTCCCTGTAGCATTACTCCATTAATATTTTCCATATCCTTATCATCTAATATACAAGTATTACTCATGCCAAATCTATTGGGGAATTTCAGTATTCCCGCCTACTACGATTTGCGTAACTTGGATGTCAACTCACAATCAATAAGATATAAAACAACCACAATCAAGAAGAAAAAACATAGAGATTTGTGTGGTTCAGTTGACCAACTTCGATTTACGTCAACGGGCAACAATACGAGAAATTCACTATGTATCAGGGAGAACTATAAGAGGAATCACTCAATTCTCGTTTCTCAATCTTCCAACCTCACATACATAGTCAATTCTCATATTATCTCCAAAACCCTCTCTTTACAATCTTTTAAATGGATAAAGACTGTGAAACCCTCTCTCAATGATGTAATCTTTTACACAGACAAAGACGACGAAACCCTCGCCTTTCGTACAATATTCTTGAATCAGGCTACGTCTTCTGCTAACCTTAGATTATAAGAATATTGGCTCTTTCTCCTCTGCTTGGTTTTTTTCTCCAACAATAGAAGAATATATATAGGGAAACCAAAATCTTATCTCTAGCCTAACTTCCTAATTGGAATAGGTTTCAAACTCCTAATCATGATGAGACTCAATCTCCTAATCATGATAGATCTCTAACCCTATCTTATTCTCATAAAGTTATGCAAAGAATCAAATACACAATCCTAACAATCTCCACATTGGATTTGATTTCCAAACTCCCTTGAAGATATATCATCGTCGTCTTAAAACTTTGCCTCTCCCGCTAGAGTCTTCTATTTCTTTCGCACTTCAAATCAAAGCACCTGCACTCCAACTGGATGCTCGTATGACCCTCACTTTCATCTGCCTCGCTGTGATGCATCCATCTTTCTTGTGCGTACCAAGAGATCTTTGCCACCTCTGACATTAGAAGCAAATCAATCATGCTTCTCCTCCCAAACTAAACTTGACAGTAGCCTTCGCCAACTTGTTGTCCTCGTACTCCACCTACATCGCTCGTCTCGAATCATATCGGTGCATCTTTCATATTCCACACTACGATCCGGATGCCTCTATCTCCTCCATCACTTGGCTTGAACCGAATATGAGTGCTCATCGTCTTCAAATCTAATGCCACCATCTTCATCTCCTTGTGTGTCACTTGGTCGTGTCTGTTTGCAAGCTCCACCTAATCTGGCATTGTCATCCTCAAGTCTACACACTAACCAACTCTTGCTCCCGCGATGGCTCTGAATAATTATATGATGACAACTCTACTGTTAGAATCATGTCTGATTCTCTATACCAATCTTATCTGTCACATACTCGTTTGTCTTATCTGTCATGCTACAAAATTTGTCTTGTCGTTGAATAGCGAATATCGAACTTCGGACCCGAAGAAGTCATCATCCTCTAACCATAATTAAAATTCAAATCAGTCACTATAGAAATTAAATTTGATAAAACTGATGTCAAAAACTAACTCAGCACGTCGAAAACCCCTAGGAATGACACCTGGATCACCAAAATCCACCTCTAAATCCTCGATCAAAAGACAAATCAATCTGCACCGTCAGATTTGATTTAATAGCTTATAAGCAAATCCTCACCCACATGAACAGTATTCTCGCTGCTGCTACAGTATTTTCTGCTACAGTACATTTTCCCTCTTCATCTTGATTCTTATAACGCCGCTGATCTTCACCTTTGCCCGACGCCGTCTTCTATCTTGCGAACACGCTCTCGGACCCATCATCATAGCTCTGATTTTACTTGTTGGGGAATTTCAGTCTCCCCACCTATTACGATTTGCGCAACTTGAAAGCCAACTCACAATCAATAAGATATAAAACAACCACAATTAATAAGAAAGAATATCGAGATTTACGTGGTTCACTCGACCAACTTCGACCTACGTCCACGAGCAACAATACGAGAAATCCACTATATATCAGGTAGAACTATAAGAGGAACCATTCAACTCTCGTCTCTCAATCTCTTAACCTCACATACATAATCAACTCTCGTATTATCTGCAAAGCCCTCTCCTTACAATCTTTTGAATGGACAAAGACTGTGAAACCCTCTCCCAATGATGTAATCTTTTGCACGGACAAAGACTACGAAACCCCCGTCTCTGGCATAATATTCTTGAATCAATCCACGCCCTCTACTAACTCTAGATTATAAGAATATTAGCTCTCTCTCCTATGTTTGTTTTTTCCTCCAACAATAGAAGAATATATATATGGAAACCAAAATCCTATCTCTAGCCTAACTTCATAATTAGAATAAGTTTCAAACTCCTAATCATGATGAGACTCAATCTCCTAATCATGATAGATTTCTAACCATATCTAATTCTCATGAAGTTACACAAAGAATCAATGACACAATCCTAACAAAATCTCCCATCCATAGATCTAGCTACCTCTAAATGGGAAAAAGCTAAGCAGTTTAATCACAATTTGACAAAAGTTAAGCTTTCACCGTGTTGCTTTCTTCTATCTAGCATCCATACAAGATGAAGCCCTCTCTAGCTACTAACCTATCCTATTATTCTCCTTCCTTTTCTTTATATATGAAACCAAGCCAAAATTTAAAGTTGTATATGATAATTTCAGGATAAGGCTCAACCAGAAGATCGGGGTTCAGATACCATAGCCCATGCTTTTCACAAAGGAATGATAAACCCTATGCTCTCTGGCCTGTCTTCATTTCTTATTCTTCTGTTAGAGAAATATGCAATAGTTTCAATTGAAATGGAGACTCCACACATTATTCGTATAGGAATATGGACTCTGGACAAGCAAGTAGTTTTTTTTTCTTTTTAATTTGCTTTAGCAGCTTATGACCAGCAGGATTCGAACTTAAATTGATATGAAATCGTCTTAATTAAAGTCGTCATCGCTGTACCAAATCTCTAAACTTATAGTGAAGATTGAGAATTATAATTATATACTATAACATGTAGGAAATAGTAGGTAATATAATGATCGATTGTTAACCTTTATATTCCCCTAACAGCCTCTTTAGAAGATAATAATTAATTACTAGAACAAAGTAAATAATTCATATGTGAATATACTTTTGTGTTAGTTCTATCTCGGTCGAGCCAAAAGTCAGAAACGTATGGTTCTCGCCGTGGATTGAAGATGATTCGGTCAAGTTCAGCCTCAAGTTCTCACTCATGTAAAATTATAATGATAAAATGAAAATGATAGTTTCTTTTTGGGGGGAATAGGAAACATAATTCATTTTATGGATTAAAATGAAAATGATAATTGACCCGAGCTAGGAATAAAAAACTTCCAAATCAAAACGTGCATATTCTCCATGTTTTTTTTTTTTAATATGTGGGGTGTGCCGACAAATTACGAGTCAGAATAATGGCTTCACACGTGTGCGAGTGGTAAACAGCATCCGCGCGATGCATTAATCAGTTGAAAGCATTGACCGCGCTTGTGGAAATCGAGCTCCTCCTGTGGGTGCTAATTTGACACTACA